CCTGAGGCGAGCTGCCGCCCCCGCCCCGGGGCCGCTGGCTCTCGCCGAGGCGGTCGCGCTGCCGCGCCTGGCGGAGCGGGTCAGCCCATAGCTGGCGGCAGCAAGCGCGCTTTCGCCGGGCGCTGGCCGTGCGGCGGGCAGCTTGCGGGCAGGGAACGTACGGTGCGGCTCCGGAGGCTGCCACCGAGGGTTTCTGTGGGCAGCAAATTGCCACATCCTGGAAATGCCACGGAAACCCTCGGTCGTGTGTCCCGCAGAGCCGGCGGCGGCTGCCCTGGGCCAGCCTCGGACTGTGCCGCCTTGGCCACGTTCTATCCCTGTTCCTTATCCTAGCACAACTTCAGGGCCGAGATCACCCCTTTAAAATTATTTACAAAATGGGATAAACAGCTGGGTGCGACTGCAAGTAACGCTATGGGAGAGGAGGTTCGCTTAAATATAGTTTTTTTGCGTGGGGTGCTGGGGAAGATGGCAGGGTGCTGGGGCTCCAAGCTCTAGCGTGGAAGAGATGACATTCACGCTGCCTTCGGCTGGGATGGTACTTCTCCCCTTTGCTAGAGCTGCTGCCATACCATGCCAGAACATAGGCATGTTTTACACAGGGTTTTATCTGCCAGTATTTGACAAGGAGAAAGCTTCAGTCAGCTAAAGCACAGTATTTTCCATAAATGAGAACAATTATGGAAAATCATGTGAGTTGTTTTAGTTCTGTAAATACTAATTTACTGTTGCGGTTATAAGCTAGGTCAAAAGTAACATGAAGAGGCAGCCTTTAAAATACAAGCTTGTACACGGCGAAAATTATTTTCATGTGTACATACAATTAAGTCATTTGGAAGACAAAGTTCACGCATATAATTCTCATGTATATATAAAAAAAAACTTTTGCTATATAAATTAGCCTTAGCATGTAATCACTACAATATCCCAGACAAGCTCAGATCAAAGTTATGGATGCAGAAATATCAGACTGTTTCAATTGCAACTCTGAATGCCTTTTATAAATCACCTATGTGGAATAAAAATACATGCGCTCATCACAAAGAGACTACATTAGCTGCCTGGAGTTGCAAATAAAATAATTTAAATCCAACCATTCAAAATAATAGACCGCTACCGCTACACTGCTTCATAGTTTGTGGGAATGTTCCACAATTAATAAATGTCTGGGCTCCCATCATTTAATAAAAGTGATAAGTACTTCAATTTTCAGTGCTGTTCTGTGCTTGCTGGATATTGGCAATGAGCGTGAGCTCGCGGTGACTACGAATCTGGTATTATCAGCAGGTTTAGACTGTCTCCAGGTTGTATTAATCCTGCCATGCTCTCTTAGTGATCCTCCGTGACCCTGAATGGATTAGAATGACAGCACCTCCTCCAGAAGCAGACTCACAGACTAAGCACCAGGAGTGCACGGTACAAAGAGCAACTTGGGTGTCCCATGCCCGGCTTCATTCTGTTTCTCCATGGCAGCTCCAGCTACATCTAACCCAGCACAGAAGCGCTGCCAACTCACATTCAACACCACAACCGGCCAGGAACCACATGGCCAAGAAGCGTGCAAAGCTTCAGATGCTCAGCTATGGAATTATATCAAAAGGAAAAAGAGGCTGCAGCTGAACTGATGCAAACTCTACTTTTGGCACGTGGAAATGTTATTCCTTTATATCAAACCTGCTAAGTTGCCCTGAGCCTAAGCAGACAACAGACAACATAATTAATTTAATGCAGGGTAGAGATCAGAGCCAGACCATTTTAAGCTTGAGGACCAGATTGGATCTGTGTGCATCCTACAGAACCACCATCCAATTACATACAGCAGTTACTAATGTAAAATCATCCCCCAGGCCAGGGAAATAGTATGTACCTGCAGTAGATGTTAAGGTTTTCAAAGTAGTACAGGGGAGTTAGTCATACATCTGCCAATAAAATTAACAGCTAAAGAAATAATAAAAATAGTTAAGTCTTTTGAGAGGGTTGAAAGGTCAGTTTAAATGTATATCTGCTTCCAAATAAGAAAGGATAAAATGGGTCATTGTTTTTAATCAGGGCAATAATGCCATGGCTATTGACCCTTTCTTCTCCCTAAAGGCTCTCTATCAATCTCAATTTTAAGTATGGCTAAGCAGCGTTGGCAGATGTGTTTAACTTTGAATCCTTCAAAGGCTTTATTTTCTGTATTTAAATAACTGAATAAAAACATACACTTTTGGATCCTTAGACAGTTGGGAGAATTTCATTAAAGGACACGCCAGGCAAAGGCTGGGAATATGAGAGTTCAAAATTCAAAAACCCAGCTACTCCCATCTTGATTGCTTTGCTGGACCCAAGAAAACTCAATGACTTGTGAAGTAGAAATTTCACATTTTGGAGAAGACCAGCTGCATCTGATCCAGACTGTCAGCCAAAACTATATATATCTGTGCATATATAGGTACCTCTATATATCCATGCAGCTATCCCACCGTGGAACTCAGAGTGCCTCTGACCCCTGCCAGCTCTAACAAGGAGAAGACCAGTCTGACTGTTTCCACTTGCTTCTTTATCAGATTTTTGCCAACTAAAATGTTCAAGGTACAAAATCATTAAAAAGCCTTTCCTGTGCATCAATAGCTTGCTCAACCTATACTGTATCTATTGCTGCTCAGCTAGCTATAATGGCGTTTCCAAATGGGAGTTATGATGAAGTATTACAGTATTTCTTAGCAACAGGTATAGCACCCATAGCCATTAACATAAATAATTCAGCTCATGCAGCCTATACGTTAAAAATGTCTTTAATGAGATCTTATCTACTGTTCAGAGTAAACAAGAATATCTTGACGAGGATCTGACCTTGAAGCAACAGGTGTAATGACAACAGTAGCCTATAATAGGAATGCAGACTCTGACAGCAGCTTCTGGGGTTTCAAGCCAGCCAGCATGATAGGGAATCCATTGCAGAACCGCTCCTGTTCTAGGTTAAGGCTGCTAAGCTTTCTCAGGGCTACTGTTCTTCTTAGGAAAGGCTGCTGCTATTTGCTTGTGGGAACAAGTTCAAATAGAGGAGCACCACAAACAGTGGAATGAAAACACCATTTTCTGAACTCATTTCAGCAATGTAAATCAGGAAAATCTCAACTAATTCCAGCTAAAGCACTCCTGATTTATAGTGGGATGACAGCTCTGAATCCAAAGCACAGAATGGCTGTGAATGAAAATGCGACCAACCTTCTCTTTTTTATGCACTTTCCCCTCATTCCTCCTCTGAGAACTAGAGAAGTACCATCTTCCCATTTCTCAGGTGATGATTTAAAGCACAGAGAGAGCAAGCTACTTCCCTACAGTCAGAAAGTCTTGTTCATAGCCAAGGTCTAAATTCTGCTCTCATCAGTGCCAAACCAGTCCCTTGCTTGGGAGATTGCTCTTCCTCAAAGACTCATTAGCTGATATTCCTTTTATGGAAGTGGCAGTATTGCCATAATACAGACTACCAAATAATCTACCTATAGCATTCATTATCATTATCACTCCTTCTAGTAAAAACTCAAACCATGCCATCCCACATGTCAATAGATCAGCAGGGCTAACATGGCAAGAAAACATTTCTTCGTGACCCTCAAAGCAATCAGCTTATGCTGCCAAAGCAGGAAGCTTGTTTGCCCCTGCATCATTGTAATCTAGCGCATGCAGCTGCAAATGTTGTCTTTGCTCACAAAGCTTCCTAAATCCCTTTTTTAATTCTACTGAACTCTTTGCCTTGATGACTGCCTATGGCAATTGGATTCCATAGATAGAAAATATACTGTGTGAAGCAGAACTGAGAACGTGTTCTGGAAGGTTTTGCTCTGTGAATTGGAGCATAGAGGCTGCAATTAACTGACTTCTCTAGACACTTGATGAAGTTTCATCTTAAGTGAAGTTCCCCTTTCCTCCATGATTTATATTACCCTCCATTACTCTTTATTCTGCACAGCTGGTTTGTGGTTCCTTTTTAGGTCCTCTGAGGAAAATCCTGGCCCTCATGAATGTATCCAAGTGCCTGTGCAGCCATGCACATAAATACAGGGAAGCAACAGCACACACAAAGATTAGGATCTTCCAATATGCAGGGCACCACAGGGACTCTGGACTCTCCTCCCAGGCTGAAGTCAGTGATTGATTTTAATGGAAGCAGGGCTGAGCTAATGCTGGCACTTTGGAAAATCCCACCCAAGGGATTCAGTGATATTGAAAGTGCTTGAGGCAGGTTAATTGTGGGGCATTTACATTAATGGGGAATGGCACATTTGTCTTTATTAATTTTCCTTCTCTAAAGTGCGATTAGAATGTATACGTTTTTAGATCTTTAGGAATAAAATAATGTAAAATACTTCTAGAGATTCTTACTGAGAAGCCGATAAATGAGTGGCTTTCTGTAGCCTTAAGATCTATCACGCCCCCAAGATCTGTTAATACTCCTAACTGCCTTTCTTTTTCCTTCATTTGACTTAATATGATTACAAGGCAACATACCTGTGGGTCCCAATCACAGTATGCGCACTGGCCATTCATAAAGCAAGGTTTTTCATCATCTTCTTGGAGACAGGAGGCGTCAATACTTTGCTAGCTGACAGTACCCTTAAAACCAAGAGGAAAAAAAATCTCAGTGGTGAAGTTGAATTGGAAAAGGCCTATTAGCGTAAGAGAAAAAAAGCTGACTTGAACTGGAATGAGGTTCTGGTAACAGCAAGAGGGGGGATGTAAACAAACGCTAATGTAGGTCAGTTCTGGAGAAGTCACTTCATGGTAAGGATGGCCAATCTCAATAAAGAGGCCAAAGCAATGGCAATAACTTTTCAAACAACTCTGCAAATAAATACAGCCTGAACTATCTTTGCTTTCTTTGAGTGTTGCCTCTGAAAATTATGAGGTTACTGATTTATGAGGTTCTGACACATAATTCACTAAAAATACAAATACTGATTCTTTTCCACACAGTCATTCAAACAACACTAGAATTTTCAGCATGGGAGCAAACATCACACATAACTTCTAAAGCATTAAAACCATTTGCTATGGCTTAATGGCAGAGATTTGGTCATTAACATCACAGTGGAATGACAGAACTATACCAATAGTTTTGCAATCATGAGAACCATTTCTTCACAAAAAACACAAGTCCACAGTAGGTTTAAAATACTAAGGAAGGTGAGTGGCAGAGTGGGGTGGGAAAAGAAATTTGTTTCTCCTTGCTACTTCCCCTTGGCAGTTCAAATTTGTCTTACGGTTTTAATGAAAAGTTCTTCTGTTCTTGCAATGACCTTTTTGATATGGCCTCACTGACTCTTTATGCATAATGGCTCTGCTTGATATCAAACTGGAAGAGTTCCAAGATAATCCAGGGACTGGGGTCTGGATTAGGAGTTTCTCTGGATCAGGCTGGAAAGCATTTCTCAGAAGGACTTGGAAGTTCATGTTATCCATGTTACCATTATGGAGTAAGACATAAAAGAAGTTAAGTAGTCATCTACCTTTCAGATTACTTTTAACTTTCTGGTTTTACTTCTTCCATGACAACTTTCCCATTTTACACTGAAAAGGTTCTATTTCACCTCACTTCAAAAGTCATGTCTTTTGCTTACTAAGTTAGAAAGAGAACAACATTTTAATGTAAACGTTGAAAGTGTCTTCCCTTCAAGACCAAACATGTTATATGCAGTTAATCCTCATTACAGAATAATTACCTGTTAAATCTGATTTAATAATTATTAAAGTAGAAATGATTTTATGAATGTGCAATAAAATAAAGTTATCGGTTACGTTGCTGTCTGAGATAGAATTGAATTTTGGATCTTCTCCTGCTGCACTGTGAAAATCCAATACACTGCAGTTAGCTTCCTTTCTTTATACAGTGAAATATTTTAAATTCAAACTCATTTATGCGCTGGCCTTAATTGCAGGGGGAAGATTTGTGTGTGTGTAGCGCAGTGATGTTGTACAGTTTCTGGAGCTGCAGGGATAGGTATACACACCTCTGGTATACTCAGGGCTGGCACTACTCTCTGTTTTTCTACTTACTATTAACTGTTCTTTCCCAGCTATCTTCAACATTGTCTTGTTCTCAGATCTCATTCTGGATAATGAGTTGCTCAAGTGGACTTTTTTTTCCCTTTCAAGAGCCAGCTGGCACCAATCAAATTGCAAGGCTGCGTAGAAAATACAGCTTTCTCCAGAAGATCTCTGCCATTTAATTGTACTAAATGTTTACAGAGCACAACCATTTTTTCCTGTCATTTTTGTGCATATGTGAAATATTTGACATATGCCTTGTAAATCATACATTAGGATTTGCTGGAATTTCTCTCTTGACCACTTAAGTGACATTGGCTGGACTTGTCTCATTTTTTTAAAGAAGTAGTTTATACTGGTGCAGTTCTTTAACTAGCAAGTGACTGAAAATAGTCATGAGAAGTTTCAGACTATTTTTAGAACAGCTGTAGATGAATGGACAGTATATTTGTGAATAGTAAATTTCAGCTTTTTTTTTCCTTGTATTTTGAAATTTTTACAATTTATTTAAAAACTTGCATTCTGAAATGAAAAGATGAAAATAAACATTTCAGCATTAACATGGTCCATGTGATGTTTCTGTACTTAATCAGAGAGCTGTCATGATTTTTTGAATAATTTTAGTGGTGAGGTTGCAAAAATTAAATGGCACTTCAGAATAACTTTGAAGATTTTTATTCAAGATTTGATGGCTAAAAATCCAAGCAATCCTCATTAGTAATTCTTTCAGAGAGAATTTCCTTCTTGAATCGTAATGTTTACTTTTGAGGTAGATGACTTGGGAGCATCTGTTTAGGAAAATTCAACTGCATTAGCTACCAGTGTGATTTCTTTCTTAGTCTGAGACACATGTGAAGTGTTATATACTGGTATACCCATACACATAATGTATGTTTGCATGTAATTTGTGCTGAAGTACTCCTGGATTACCTCTAACTAAATGAAGAGTGGGATTAAGTGAACATATGGTGCTAAGAAAGCTGGAAATAAAATCCCCCTCCATCTTACTCTGCCACACTTATATTGCTTATTAGAGGATTACTTCTGAGTCTGTGTGGACAAGCTTTCTGAGGAAGGAATTGACAGCCATAAAGTTTCACAAGCTGGTACTGGTTATGAGGAAAATCCTGCAAAATTATACTCTCTAGATGAAAGGTACTTTGTCTTCTGTTACAATCCTGAAACTCATTTTTCACTTGCACTGTATCAATATGTACATGTAGAGAAAGAGAGGTCGTAGCGGTTTCTTTAGGCTCATCATCATATTCTGGCAGGTAGTTTATCTGTAAGTCAGACTACAGTCCTAACTGGATGCTGCCTTCTTATTAAATGCCTTTTTATAAATGTGACTGGAAAGCTTATAAGCCTACACTAAATTGACAGATTTTCAGCCAGAAAAATCTATACATTTACTTTAAAAAGTTATTTGTGATATTAGATTTAAGCCCCATGATTTTCCTGGTTATTTACCTGACAACTAGGTGTAAAGTAGATACGAAAAACTTGCAACATCTATTGTATACACCAACCAGAAACAAACTGGATGTCACAGGGAGAAAACAGCTTCGAGGGTCAGAGTCCATTGTTCCCCAGCCATGCATTTAGTTAGTGTAGCCAGCTCATGTCTAGTAACCTCAGTGAATTTTTCCATACTGTAATTTGGAAGTCACCTTGGTATCACTTCCTAGAGCTGTATGTATGCTAGTTTATTCTGCAGTCTTGCTGCTTCCTCTACATTCTCCCAGAGGCTCATTCACATTAGCCAATTTGCCCAGTAGACCCTCTTCACATCAGTTTCAAATCCTTATAAAACTCAAAGTCTAACCATTTCCTCCTCTTCTACTGACCAGTTGTACTCTTCTCCTGTAAGTACAAGCCGTCTTCTCCTTTGTGTCCTAAAGTAAACTCCCTGGATAAATACATGAAGCCACTGCATGGTCCCTTACAAATCTTTTCCATACACACTCCATGTTGACATCTGTAAAGTTGATAATGCCACCACAGCAACCAGGAAGAACACAAGTGTCTCAAAATAGCAATCTGGCAATGCTTACAGTGCACAAAATCCATGTGTGCAACTGCCTGTTTTTATCTTTGCTATTCTTGTTCTTCCTTTCCCATTTCCTCCACTGGATATTCTTCCACTTTTTGTATTATGTTAAAACTGACTGTCAGCCCTTTAGTAAGACGTAGGCCCCCCGCTACACATGTATGAATATCTGGCATAAAAGGGCACGGAGAGCAGAGACAGGACCGGGGTCACCACACCCATACTGCTGCCTGGGGTGGCAACACTGACTCACACAGCACACACAAAATCCCACGTATCCAGGCTGCATCAGCTGTATGACAGAACTGCTACCCCCATGGCTAGTGTGCAAGCAGCACGCATGATGCTGCTGGACACAGTGGACAGTTGGTCTGGTTAAAGTGGTCAGACTGGAGATGCCCAGCTGTAGAGCTACCCGGCCAGAGTGATAGTTCCCTCAGGGCTGATTCAGCAGTTCCAGACAAATAGCCTCATCCATCTTTTTCAAGACAAAATTCTTGCACAGGAGCCTGCGCTCTGTTACAACACAAACAATAAATGAAAGAAAAGAAGCCTGGCTTTTCCAGGAACTTACCCCTGCTGATTAACAAGAGTGTTGGGAGAACATTCAAGGTGACCAGCTGTGCTCCAGTCTTGCCAGAAAAGACGCCCGGGCTGCAGCTGCAGGTCTGCTCCCAGGGCAGGTTGCGTTGTTGTGATGGTGCAAGTCCCCACACTCTAAACTGGGGTGCACGTCTGCTGCTCCTCTGCTAGGACTGGGGAGCAATGGCTTGGTGGGGAGCACCAGGCTCTTTGCACCTGCAGGGGGAAGAGACAAGGCTCATAATGCAGCAACTTCTTCCTAACAAGCTCTCCTCTGCCACAGCTGAAACTGGTGGTGGGTTAAGTCTGTGCAGCTGGGCCAGGCTGAGGGCGTGGTGATGATTACAGCTGTGCCTCCTTTAGTTTATTAGTGGTGCTCACTTTGTTTTTTGTTTTGCAACCAAGCAGAAATTAGGCGCAGCAGCACCCCATATGTTCTTTGTCTTTTGTTTGCTTGGGTATGTTTATTGTATGGGTTTACTTAGGATCCAACTGTGACTATGTCAAGGGTTTGTTATGTACATTCTTAAAGACATGAGACTGAGCTCAACACCTGCATTTAAAACATTATGGTTGTGTCTGGAAAGTCAGAAAATGGGAGTATGATCTGTTCTGAGCTATTCTTACACCATTGTAAACAATTTTAGCTGGCTAAATAGAAATCCTGCCACTAAATACAAGTGTCAAATTGCAACCAGATCCTCAGCATGCCAAGACCACATCACTACAGTTCCAGATTTCCCTTTCAGTGAGTAACTTGGTGGTGCTTCGTGTTAAGCAGCTTACAGCAGGAGTGTTGTTACCTACTCCATGCTCATCTGACTGCCCCTGTGCAGATCCACCATTTGGCATGTCACAGGGGACTCACAGGAACCCTGGGGACGCAGCACAACTTCTCTTCCAGAAGAGAATGTAACCAGAGCCTGAATTACTGCTG